TTTTATTAAAGATTTTGTAAAAAAAAATTATTATTTTCCTACTAATTAAGAAAAGCTAAAAATTACATCTAAAAACCTATTTTTAACTAAAATTTTATAAAACTAAAGAATTAAGAAAAAAACATAAAACTAATCTAATTTTAAGAAATTAAAAACTAAAGGAATCTAAGAAATGATTTTTAACCACGAAAAATGTGTAAATCTAGAGTGTTATCATAGCAATTCTAGTCTTTTATTTTGGTTTAGTTTCGTAATCGGTGAACTTTAAGGGTAGAAGAATTTGTAGTGGTGAGCCATTATTCTACAAGCGTGAGCATTCGACTGAGTTAAGAGGTAAGGGAATCTTATATAATTTGATTAAGATTATTAGTTCTGAATGGTTGTATGTATGTTTGTTTATATGAGTGGATGATTTATAACTGAGGTAAACTGGGTTGATATAGGGTTTGATCTTCAATCTGCAGCTTTCTACGTAATCATGTGTTTGATACCGAGAGTCATTATTGACCGTTCGGTTTCCTTTGAGCATTCGGTCTGAACTGGGTTCTTCTTCTGTAGAGAATTTCAGTTAATGACCGATCGGTTTTGTATTATTATACATGTAAATAAGCATTCGGTCTACGTATAGTTTCTCATTTGTACTTCTTTAATCAGCTTAGTTAAGATATTCAATAATACCTAAATTCTTAAAGATTATATTTATCCTTTGTTGAAAATAAGTCATATGTATTTGTAATTAGAATATATTCCTTCATTGTATAATCTCAGTAGTGCTCGGTCATAAATCAAGAGCTCGGTCTCAGTAGTGCTCGGCTTCAAAATAAACGCTCGGTTCTACAATATATTCCGTAATATATCTGCATTGGTATTAAGAGCGTTCCGCCAAACTTCAAAGTGTTTGGCCCTAGTTTGTAGTGTTCGATTTAAACTCTTAGGTCTCTGATAAAAACTTTCCTTATCTTTAGTCAGGTTTAATTATATGTATTTTATAGTATTCCAAACATTTTTTAAGTTTTGTGTAGTTATCCAGTAATCTTTCCTTATTATTATTATAAGTGTTAGGCTTATGATGAGTCTTATCTCCTATGGACCGTTCGGTCCTATTCCGTAGATAAGTGAAAGACCGCTCGATCTTACACTAAGTGTTCGATTAGATTAGTTTAAGAGGTATTCTCTCGTTCGGACTTGCTTCTAAGATGGGATATTATTTTCTTGGATTGGTATGACTATGTTGATGATTAATTATGATGATATTTATTTAAAGATATGATGGAAGAGGAATGTAATGTGAAGTATGATGGTATTTAAAATATCATATGAATGGAATAATATGGATATGAAAGAGTATTCCAAGGAGGAATATCTCAGGAATTGTTATGGAATGGTAAAGTATGAATGTGGTCATGCTAAGGTGGCATTTATCCTGATATTCTATGATTACTCATTCTCAAGTAGAGAGGAGTAAATCATGTGTAAGAATGACAGGAGGTCCTAGTCCATAAGGTTAAGATGGGCGAAGTATAACGGACTAACCTCGGGTGGCAGCTGTTGAGGGCATCTCAGCTACTACATCACCCGGGTGCACAAACGTCGTAGCTACACAGAATTCATACCGTCCGAACAGTCAGAGTATAGTGGTCGGTCGTTGCATGCATTGATGTAGGATTATGATTGGTTGTTGTTTGATTGAATCATGGAATTATATGTTTTATTGAATTAATTAAATTACATAAGCTTACCCTATTTCCTGTCTTGTCTGTATTGTTCGTTCGGTCGTCATTCCTATTGCAATGATCATCTTGTGGATGTGAGTAGAAGGGGAAGAGTGCTTGCTGGAAGAAGCCTTGGCAGAAGTGGAGGTTAAGGCTGAACCTTAAGACTGTTCGACAATTAGAGATTTTCATTTTGTATTACCGTTCGGTATAAGCGTAGTCTTGGGAACCCTTCGGTCTAGTTCTCTTTTTGTAAATTTTAAATTCTTAATATTTTTGTAAAACCGTTCGGCCATGAGTGTACCCCTTTACATACAAAACTGAAACTGTAATATTGTTAATATGTGAATATTCTATGATATGGTTTTATACTGTATTTTTGGGATGTTACACAAGGTTGCATGAATCAATCTTGATGTATCAATTCCTTATAAAATACTACTCAAAATATTTATAAAAATACGTGAGAAGTGAGTATTTTATAACTGAAACTTTGTAGACAAGAAATTCCTATAAAGAAATATCAAAATCACGTTATAAGAATATTAATTAGAAAATGAACACAAAAATAATTAATATCGAGATATTTTCAATCCTATATTTGTATATTATTTAGTTAGTTTAGTTTATCTTCTTCTTACTTCATACACTAATTTATGAATACTTCAAAAACATTTATAATATTTAATACAGGTTTACAATTGATAGAAATTAACCAATAATTTTTTCCATCCTCAACTCTAAGTAACTTTAGCAATACTTCAATTATTGTCATTGCAAAGATTAATGAACGTAAAATGATTTACTTTTCCATGCCTATTGATATTGGAAGACTTAGATGATTATTCCAATGTATCATTTTTGGGTTCAATGGAATTCATAGGTACAGGAAGAAGCCTTGTCAAGTAGAAATTTTTTCTTTCGACCATTTTTCGATTTATAATACAATATATAACGACAGCTACTACAAAGAATACTATCGTGAAATATCAATTGCTTACTGAATATCTGAATTGCGTGAAAGTAGATACTCAATTTTAACATAAAGTTACCTCAAGTAAAATCGTGTCAATGTGACAACTTCAATTTGAATGAAAAAAAAAATAACCAAATGAGATTAACATCAAATAAAATTGTTTTAACATGGCATGACTTTGCCATTAACACCAAAGTCTTGCTTCTTCAACACGACTTCAGTTCTATTAAACCAAAGTCATGCTTTTAACACAACATCTTTTTTCTTTAAATTTGTCCATTCCAATAAAATTAGTGTCAAATTTCACTAGTAAATTTACCCTTTCTTATTCGATAGACAACGTTAATGTTCTGATTTCAAGTTTAACCAGATAATATCGTTAGTCAATTACTACATCCAAATATCTAATATTGGCTTATGGATAGGTGATATCCCAAATAGCTTTCCGTATTACCCATTTTTGGATAGCCTATCCAAAAACTATTACCTATATTTCTATCTTCCAAATTGATCATTTTGGAATATATTTCCAGATTTCTCTTTTTGGATCCCATACGAAACACTAATTTTGAAATGTCAATAAACTCATTCTGAATCAATGATGTAGAACATAAGAATAAGGGAAAAGGTTACCTCTCAGATGATGATCCACCAATGAAGGATGACAGCAGTTGCAATGGTGGAATGGAAGCTCCTTGGCAGCGGCGGAAGGCTCTTCGTGGACTAGAAGGTGTAGAGGATATGGAACTATGGAGTTGCACCACTATGTGAATGTTAGATGAGTAGGGATTTACTTAAGGGCGTTCTATTCATTTCACGCCCCCCCACCGGGTGCAAGAAGAAAGCCAGTTGTGAATTTTGGTTGATTAACGATCCATGACCCAAATAGACCAACGAAATTGCAACTTCCAAAGCCATGTGAACGTAACTCTTGATTCCCTCTGCTTTGACCACTGGTACATGCCATTTTGAGGGACTATTCACTAATATGAAATAACAATAGTACGATTAGTTGGCCAAATTTAATCATTTAGCTATCAATGCAGTTCAGGTAATTGCACATGATAACCAACAATAGCTAACATCAGAGGTTAGAAGCCATCACTAATCAATATCCTTTATTGAAATTTGACCATAAATAATCCCCTTTTAACTTTAAGTCTCACTTATGAATGTGGAAATTATTATATGAAAGCCTTAACTATAAGGTTGTGATGATATAAATGAAAATAAAATTGATAGACCAGTGCTGTAGAAACTAGCAAGAACTTAGTCCCTCTTACCTGAAAATTATGCAACATCATGAACAATCTGAAACGGAAATCAAGGGTAACTATTACCAATAATCTCCACAAGAGCATGTACCATTTTTGAAATGGTGAAACCTGCTAGAATCCCGCACAATAATTTCTACACTTTTTATCTCTGATATGTACTTGATGGCAACATGACAATCACTGCAAACCCGCAAGTTTTTCATCACTCTTATTGGCACTCCCACTGGGGTGCTCATTAAAGCGAAAGCAATTGCCAATTTCTCACTATGGTGCCTCAAGTTGTGTTCTTTTTCCTCATTGTCCATGTCATGCAAAACAGAGTTAGTATCAGGTACATAGCCCCGATTCTTCATTTCTGAAGTTAATTGTTCCAGATACTGATTAATTTCCACATGTTTTGGGTGGCATTGACCACCCATATGAAACTGGTGAACCTGATTCTTCACTTCTACCCAACTTACGCCTGGTTCTTTCTTCACCATCTTGTCTTTCATGGCTCTCCTTACCTCAAAAACATTTTGCCATCTCTTAGTTGAAGAATAAATGTTGGCAAGTAGAACATATGAAGCTGAATCTTGAGGATCGATCGTAAGAACTTCTGCAGCAACTCTTCTTCCAATTTCAGCATTCTTGTGGAGTTTACACGCAGATAATAATGTCTTCCATATTATTGCGTCTGCTTTTACAGGCATGGATCGTATCATGGCCTCTGCCTCCTCCAAACAGCCAGACCTGCCTAGTAGGTCAACCACACAAGTATAATGTTCTAGTCTAGCCTTGAGTCCATATTTTTTCACCATCACATCAAAGAAATCAAGTCCTTTGTCCTTCATTCCACAATGACTACAAGCATAAAGCAAGCTCAAGAAAGTGACCTCGTTTACTGGCAGATTTTCTTGTTCCATTTGATTGAAAAGTTTGATGGCTTCTTCTCCTTGACCATGAAACCCATAAGCAGCAATCATTGAACTCCCTAACACAACATCTCGCTCTTTGCATTCCAGAAAAGATTTGAACGACTCTTGGAAACATCCACATCTAGAGTACATACTAACCAATGAACTAACTACAGAAACTTCATAACTAACTCCTGCTTTAATTGCTTCAGCATGAATTTGCTTCCCTTGACCAAGGATAGCTAACTCCGAACACGAGCTGATCACACTCACAAAAGTAATCTTGTCAGGTCTAAAACCTGCCTTTTTCATCATACAGTATTGATCCAGAACTCCCTCAAAGGACCCTTTTTGAGCTTTTCCAGCCAGAAGTGTATTCCAAGCAACCAAATTGTAATCTGGCATCCAATTGATAACTCTCTCCCCATCGTCCATGCTTCTAGCTTTCATATACATATGAGCTAAAGAGCATCCAACAACCAAATTAAACTCAAACCCACATTTCATAACATAGGCATGAACCTGTTGGCCAGCAAACAAAGCTCCTATATGAGCACATCCCCTGAGCACTCTACCCAAAGAGTACTTATCTGGCATTAACCCTAACTCATTCATTCTCGAAAAGAAGACTAAAGACTCCTCATTCATTTCAAACTTGGCCAAACCCGTTACCATCGCGTTCCACGTGGCAATATTTCTTTCAGGCATTGCATCAAACAGGTTCATAGCACTCTCGATGTCGTCCATTTCAAGATAGGCCTTGATCATGATGTTACATGACATGATGTTCCTCCTGGGCATTCGATCAAACAAAGCAACAGTGGCTCTAAGCTCCCCAAATTTTGAATAGAGGTTGAGGAGATGGTTGGAAATGAACTTGTCTGAGGAACAACCAGAAGTTAATATCAAAGAGTGAAGCTGCTTGCCCAAAGAAACAGACTTTAACCCAATGCACGCTTGGAGGAGGTTTGAGAACAAATGGGGTTCTGCCCATATCTCTGATACAAAGCTTTCAAAAGCTTCTCTTACGTGCCCTCTTGAACACAAGGTGGCAAATTGTTCTTTTGCCATCCGAAAAGTGGTCATTTTGCAAGTCGATTTGTGGAGAAGCCAGAGATTGCAATTTGGAAAAGTGGTGGGCGCAAACACACACACACACACGAAAGAAACTGTTACGAGAAAAAACCAAACTTTACCATGCATGAAACATGGGCTAAGGAATGTGTATATTGTTTAATTGTCTTCTTTAATGTTTCCCATTAACCATAACAATAAGAAAAGTAAACAATTTTCTTACAAACCGATATAACTAATTACTGATTGTAAATGGATGTATATCGATTGGTATGGAGATTACGTGCATGGAAATATACATGAATGTTATTCCATTTCTTCATGTTTTTTATAATATTTTATCTTCTAATTAGACCTAAAAATAATTAACTTTACAAACTTAGTTTTATAAAAGATTTTCGATTTTTAAAGTAGAATTAAAATGCAAAGTTCATGTATTATACAAATGGATTAAATGAAAAAATTAATAAAATTAAAATATCACGAAATGGGGAAAAAAAATGGTATTGTAATTTAAAATTAAAACTTAAAGATGATTTAGACAACAATAAATAATAAAGAGTTTGCATATAAGCAAGATTTTATTGAATATGAAATTTAAATGGAAGAGTAAAAGAATAAATTGTAATGGAAAATTTAAGAATTTGCATATGGAATAAAAGAGATTGGTCATATGAACAGATACATAATTACTTTTTTTTTTCATTCTCATCTTTTTTATTTTTTAAGTCTAACACTTAGTGATTATCACTATTAAAAAAGTTACATTCAAATCATATATAAATATTTTTCAACAATTATTTATTCTTATATTACTATTGGAAAAATATTTACTTGTGGCAATTTACAAAATACATGTCTTTCTAAAAATTTTAGACTCTATGTTCAAAATAACTTCTATATGGTACGAGAGATTTAAGTTTTGAACTTCTATCATAATGAATAACTTCCATCTTTATTGATAACTTTTATTTGAATATGTAATTTGTTAAATTCTTACTTAATGATAAAATATTTTCTTTGTTGATACATTTGATATTTTCAAATGTAATAACTCTACTTGTAACATCCCAAAATATATATAGTATAACTACATAATAGAATATTTACATGAATTGATATGATAAACGAGTTATTCACTTAGTATTAAAGTGTTAACAGTACAGTTATTCTAAAATAACTATAAAATTAAAACTTTAAGCAGGAACCTATTCAAACACAAAACTATGTATAAGACCGAACCGATAAACATGGCAAAACAGAAAAATAGGGTAAGCTAGTGTAATTTAATAATCATGTTAACATATAATTCAATAAACAAATAAAACACTCATACACATGCATAAAACATATACACACGTATTGACCGACCACTTTAATTAGACTGTTTGGACTAGTATGAATACGTAGCTTTGGTCGTCCGTGCACTCGTAGGTGTAGTAACTGGAAACCCATCAGCTGCCACACGAGGTTAGCCCGTTATACCTCACCTAAGGTCTTCCCCCTTAGACTAGGGCCTCCTGCTATTCTCACGACATGAATTACCCATCTCTACTTGAAACTTGGTAACCATTAGAATGTCAGGATGAACGCCGTGGATTTCACTATCCATATTCATACACTACTATTACATTGAAAACCAACCACCGAGACATTCCTCCTTGGAATTCTCTTTCATATTTACCTTTAGAAATCTCATACCACACTACAATATCAACATTATTTCTCATGCATAATACATTTAAACCACTGAAATAAACACTCACAATATAATATAACCATATCCCTTTTCAGACCAAAAGCTTCCTAGTAAGGTCAAACCGAACGGTAACGACTATCACCTATGAATATGACCGATTACTAATCACTTAGACAAAACTCTTATAACTTAGACCGAACACTTAGTACGAGACCAAACGGTCTTTTACTATCTAAAGGACAGGACCGAACGGTCCATACTAGGTAATATTGAAAAATGGTCGAGCACTATTACTGACCGACTACTATAAGTGAGACCAAATACTATAACATTCTGATTCTATAGTAAGGCCAAGAACTAATATTAGACCAAACACCCCCAACGAAACCGAGTACCAATGTAGACCGAATTCTAAATGAAGACCGAGCCCCACTAAAAGACCAAGCTCTAGTGTAGGATCAGACGGTACAACAGTATGACCGAACGGTATACAAAAACGAATACCAGCACATAACCGAACGACCATTAACTGGTAAGGCCCATAAGAGGTCGAACATAGTTAAGACCGAATACCAATACTAATACTAGACCGAACACCTTTTTAAATTCAACTACCAATACAAGACCGATCGGTCATTAACTGAAGTTCCACATAAGCATAACTTAGTCAAGGCCAAACACAAGGAGAAGGTCGAATGGTCAACGAAGGACCCTCAACGAACTGCATAATTCTGCTGTAGAATGACTGCAGAATTATGATCAAGCTCAATCTTTACCAATTTCCTACATTTCTTCCCAACTTCTAATCCTCCCAAATTATATTTACAAACTTATACACTTCTCTAAGAACATCTAAACATTCCTCACATTAGTTAGAGAGTTTCATCTCAGATTTGAGAGTCAATTCTGCAGAATCATGAACTCAATGACCGAGAATCATATTTCTTACTTTTGGTAAAATTTTGAATGACTTAAGGATTCAAATAAGTCATACACAACTCACCCAGATTCCTCATACAGACCAAACTGACACCGAACACAAATTCTCTCTTTTTACTACCACACTTCCTCCCAATATCACTCGGCCACTAAACCAGAATTATGCAAAATCACATTCAACATGAATACATCACTTAAGAGTCTTCAATAACAATACCGAACACACAATCATTCAGTTTCACACACATGCAACACCATCAAACATCATTTTCATACATCATAAACCAAGAAATTAAATTAACTAGCTTCCCTTACTTCTTAGACCGAACCGAACTCTCAACCACTGCAGAATTCGCTCACCACTAGAAATTCCTAAGAACCTAAAATTCACCGATTGATAAGAATAGACCCACCAAAAGCCCAGATATATGATCAGAAATGGGAAGAGGAAGTTGAGGAACACATGCAACCAGAAACTTGACTTGCATGTGTCAAAAGTTTTGGAATCTCACAAGAGCTCAAGGAATCGAGACTTACCAGTACTAAACAAGACTTTGATCGGTGGAAAAGGATGATTTTGACTCCAAAATTACTTTAAGCTTGGTCTGATTGGAAATCAGATGAAAGAAGAGGAGAGATTTGTAGAGAGAAGGAGGAGAAAAGAGGAGATGAGAATTTTGGAGAGAGAGTGTGCATGCAGAGAATGGAACGAAATTTGAAACTTTCATTTATATACTACTAACAAAACCGAACGGTCCAATCCAGTGCATACACCTGTCTTTCTCCAATTTTCTTTATAAATTCTCGGTTCTTACACTACCTAATAGTTACATTATGATATTTATCTTTTATAAATATATATATATATATATATATATATATATATATATATTAATTTTTTTATATATTACAATCCTCTTAAATAAAGTATTTTAAATAAACAACTAAGAAATTAGAAAGGAAACAATAATAAATATATAAATATACATATATCTCTTTTGCTCAACTCTAAAACATAAAATGTTATTGTATATTACATTATTATTGTAGTTGAAATTAATAAAGACACAAGAAAATGTAAGTTAGTGATTTATAAAACATTATATACTCATTTATCAACACAAATGTTAATTCAGAAGTATCATTCACAAATATCAAAATCAAATGCTTATAATTAAAAACTCACATGGTTCAATGTCCTAACAACTCATCTGACTTAATTTACTAATAATCCATCTGGCTCAATAAAAAAACATTTGGCTTACATTCATATTATAAACATTTGACTCTACTTTCAAAAAGACTAATATATTGAATAGACTCAAATATTCTACAATTTTCATATTACCTCTCGCTCACAGAAAGTCATATGTGTGTGCATAAATGTTAATTGAGAAGTATCATTCACAATTATCAAAATCAAATGCCTATAATTAAACATTCATCTGGTTCAATCTCGTAACAACTCATCTGGCTTAATTTACTAATAGTCCATCTGGCTCAATAAAAAAAACCATTTTGATCAATTAATTTTGAGTGTTGTAGTAGCTTAACTTGATGCTTTCCTCTTTGACAATATCTCTTAAAAAATGAAATATATCATCCATATGTTTACTCCTTCCATGAAATACTGGATTCCCAAACAACATAATGGTTGAACTGTTGTCACATAAAACTAGAGTACTTTTTTGTTCTTTGAATCCAAGAGTCTTCAATACTCTTTTAATCTAGATACATTGGCATGTACATGATGTAGCAGCTATGCACTCAGCTTTTGCGATAGACACTATTATCACTTGTTGTTTTTTAGAAGACCATGAAACTTCTCTAGACCTTAAAGAAAACACAAAATCATATGTGCTCTATCTATCATCTAAATCTCTAGCAAAATTATTATATATATAAGCAATAATATTTGTGTTTTCCCCTTTCTTGTAGAAAATATCAAGTTTAGTGGTGCCCCTTAAATATCTTAGTATTCTTTTGGATGAAGACCAGTGAGTTTCTGTTGGATTTTCCATGAATCTGCTGATTAAACTAACTTCACACATAAGATCAAGTCTGGTTGCAGTCAAGTACATGAAGCTTCCAACTACTTGTTTGAACAATGTAACATCTATTTGATTCCCTACATTATTTTATACAATTTTGTACCAAGAATAATTGGATTCTTGATTGCATTACAATCATTCATGTCAAACCGAGATAAAAAATCCTTAGCATATACTTTATCTTCTTCTCCCATCTTCATAAATCCAACAAGTTGTTGAACATATATTTCTTCTTTGAGCTCTCTATGAAGAAAAACACTCTTCACATCTAATTGGAAGATAATCCAACCATTTTGTGCAGCCATTGAGATGATTATGTGTGTGGTGTCAATTTTAGCCATCAATGCAAAAACATTAGTGTAGCCTACTTCATATTGTTGTGCATAAACCTTTGCTATCAAC